TCGCACAGGTTTTTTTTTCTACAAGGGGAAGTCTTGAGGCTCAGATTGGCTCCCTGGGCCCCGAATTACTACAGCGGCTCCCGCCTGATGCTTCCATTTATTGTATCCGTAAAGGCTTCGCTTCCTGCCGCTGGCCCCCTCTCTCGGATATTGGGTTATACAAGAGCTGTGTTGTGAGACCTGGGCGCCGTCGTGAAGCAGCGTCGGAACTCGGAACGGGGGCAACTGGAAATATGAGCGTGTTAACATCCATCAACAACCAAGGAACATCGCAGATGCTGGCCTCTTGGCGCGCTCTTGGAGGCCTCTTGGGAGCCTCGTGGGCCGTTTTGGGATCATCTTGGGCGCCTTGGAGCACTCTTGGGCCGCCTTGGAGGCCTCTGATACCGTGCTGGAGGCCTTTTATTATAAAGGGATTGTGATTTCGAGAGCGCGAATACTGCGCACTTTACGTGGATCTGTGATTTCGGGGACGCCAAGAACGCGTAACTTATCAGGGGTCGTGGCTTCGGGGACGCAGGCATTGCATGCTTTGGGAGGGATTTATTGCCTTCGAGACGCGAATCTGGACAAGGACTTCTGGTCTCGGGAGCGCGAAGACAGTGTACTTTGCGAGGGTTTCTGGCTTCGGGAACGCGAGTCGGGTATATTTTCCGAAAGGGGTTATGGCCTCGGGGGCGCGACCATGGCGTAACTTTTCGGCTCCACCCCTCGCGTGGACTTCAACAATGCACAGTGGGAAGCAGAAACCATGACTATAGCATGGGAGACTGGACGCTGGAACTTGTGCAGAGAGCAGCAAGCCTAACCCGCGGAGCCTGGTCCGCCGTTGGGCCTTTCGTGGGGCTGTCTTGGGCCTCTCTTGGCAGTGTATAGTAACATTGCACCTCTTCCAAATTGGAGCCATTTTTTGGGGGCCTCTTTGGCGGCTTTTTAGTACGTATTGGGTGGGGCATCTGTGGCGATCTGGGGGCCATCTTGGGCGTGTTGGAAAGATCGATCTTTCAGCGACTTGGGACCTTCTTGGACTGTCTTAACATGTTTTTTGGGGCCCTCTTGGGTGGTCGGGGAGCCCTCTATCCCCGCATGCCGCGTTCGGCCCAGGCCGAGGGGAAGAGGGGGGGTTGAATTCTTGGTTTTGGGTCCCTGGGGGGAACAATCTCACACGCCTAGAGACCCAGAAAGGGTCGGCGGATTGAATTATAGATGTTGCTCAGCATAGCTTGCATCGCATAGCTTGCGTCACACATATACATACATACGTACGTACATACATACATGCATGCATGCATACATACATACAGAGACAGACAGCCAGACATACATGCATACATACACACATTCATACATGTATTCGTACATATGTTCATACATATACACATATGCATTTATACACAGGTATCTGTATTGATTGTATCACCTAGTATGCTAAAACACATTGTTTGTTTTGTTCAGCAGAATGGAGGGCCCTTGTCAGCGTTGCCCCTCTGTCGCTCCCGAAGTCACCTCTGGAGGCCCTCTTTGGGCGCTCTTCGAGCGCTCTCGGGCGCTTTTGAGGTCTTGGGGGCCTCTTGGGTCTTTCTTGTATCTCTCTTGGGTTCTCTTGGAGCCACCATTGAGGCCTCGACAGGCCATCGGAAGCGACGACGGCAAGGTCACATTCACCGATTTTCCCTAGGTTTTGCAACGATTTTGGCCTCATGGGAGTGTTCTCGGGAGGCCCCAATGCCACGTGGACCCGTGTTGGAGCGGTCTCGGGGCCTCTTGGAGCATGATGGAAGCCATACGGAGCGATCCTGCGCTATCTTGGGTCATCTTGGAGGTTATTTCGGACCCTCAGGGAGCGGTCTTGGGCCATCTTGGACGCTCCAGCGACCCGCGACCCCCACTCCAGACCCAGGGAGAGGGGGAGGGGGGAAGGGACGCCGGATGATCTCCCTAAACCACCCACACCCTAGAGGGCTGGCGAGATTTCAACACAAGCATCTGCAAGTAGAACATTCTTCTGGGTCCTTCAGGCGGCCCCTGCATCCCTCCGCGAGACTTGACGCAAGTTTTGCCGACCCTCCATCACCCCCAATTGTAATGTTCAGTTGCGCGCGCGGCGCGGTGCGCGGGCGCCAGAATGCTCTCAAAGCGCTCCAAGGCGCTCTGGAACGGCCGCGGCGCCCGAGCACGGCACCTGGGCCTTGAGGCTCTCTCAGGGCTTCCCGACTCGTCCCCGTTGGGCTGTGTTCTCGTCCTGCCATCGTCTTGGTCCTTTCCTCCAGCGGCTCCTCCTCCCTCCTCCGCCTCCGCCTCCGCTTCCTCCTGCTCCTGCTCCTGCTCCTCCTCCTCCGCCTCCTCCTCCGCCTCCTCCTCCGCCTCCGCCTCCGCCTCCGCCTCCTCCTCCTCCTGGCCCCCCCACCCCCAGGATGCAGCTCCTGGGAGGTGAAGCTCTGTATCGACGCTGGCACTGTCGCGGTCGATCACTGGTGCAGTCTGGCCTTCCCCGGCGCTCAATCCCGCTTCATCCCGCCTGATCCCGCTGAATCCAGCTTAGGTCCCGGGCTTCAGCCTTCATCCGGCCTGATCCGGTGAAGTGGCCCGTGAATCGGGCTTACTCTCAAGTCGGGCATGCCTCTCTACGGGAGGTATATTCAAAAACAGTCAACACGTTTTGTTGTTGTTGTTGTTGTTGTTGTTGTTGTTGTTGTTGTTGTTGTTGTTGTTGTTGTTGTTGAACATTATTACTTCTAAAGAATAATTATTGTTGGGACCCCTGGTGCGCGACCCCCCCGCCGCGCCTAGGCCGCAGCCTCATTTTCATCATTTTCGTGAGGAAGTCTCAGGCGAAAACGGGTTGGTCCGGATCCGGTTGTGTTGTTACGATCGGTTTTCCCTTGCAAAAAATAAGCTAAAGTGGACATTTCTTGTTCTAACATAACCAAACTTCAAGAATCCCTTGCAAAAAATAAGGTAAAGTGGACATTCGCGCGCGCAAGACGAAATCCTTCCAAAACCTTAGTTTTCGTAGCGATTTTAACATAAAAACATCAAAAAACCAATGGTTTTTCAAAAAAAAATGTCAAAATTTCATCCCGCGCGCTCTTGCGGATTCGTAGGAAACCCAACACTTTTTAAACATTTCTGTCAAACGGGCTTTTGCGAGCAACTTTTTCGAACTTCTGCAACAACGGTTGCGCACCTGCCAGGGCCATCATCCCTGTCAAATAATACCATGCGGGACACATTCGTTTTTTCTTCGCGCGCGCACGCCGTCGTCGTCGGCCGCGGGGCCCTGAATAGTAGCCACGGTCGTCCGCATGCCACGAAGTGAAGTGTCCGAACGTCATAGGGCGGGAAGCTGGGTGTGGGTGGTGGCGAAGAGTCGTTTGGAAATTTGGTAGAGCTTGAACCGGCCCCCCCACAAAGTGGGGGTATTGCCCGCCTCCTATGAAAACCCTGGCACTGGTGAGAACGGAGTGTCCCCACGTGCTAGTAATTGTTGTTGTTGTTGTTGTTGTTGTTGTTGTTGTTGTTGTTGTTGTTGTTGTTGTTGTTGTTGTTGTTGTTGTTGTTGGTGTTGTTGTTGTTATTGTTGTTGTTGTTGATGTTGTTGATGTTGTTGTTGTTGTTGTTGTTGTTGTTGTTGTTGTTGTTGTTGTTGTTGTTGTTGTTGTTGTTGCTGCTTTTTTGAGTACCTTGTATTTTTCGTCCAGGATCCGCCCGTAGGGGGACATTCCCGACCTAAGTCAGGCGATCGCAAACATGGATCAAGGGGGCGTGGATTCGCCACGGGTCCCGTTTCCACGGGAAACCGCAGACCCCCGCCGCCGCACGGGGCGGCACTGGCCGCATTCTGGGGAGGTGCCCAGTCCGTGCTTGCGCGCCCCCGACCCCCGACCACGGGGGCCCTGCGCCTCCAGCGGCCTGCTCAGTACCCCCGACCCCAGACATCCGACGTCCTGATTTTTTTCAATACAGTCAACGCACCTAGTAAGGACGCGCGCCTTCATCTAGGGTACCTTTGTGTCCTTGCCTCTGAGGCCCGTCCTTGCCATTATCACTGGTCGCCCGCCGCCCTAAAAAACCCAACTTCGGCCTCCAAGGGTCTTGCGTCCTTATCACCCGTCCTTAATACACGTTTTGACTGTACGGGCTCCCTGGAAGTCTCGACCCTCTCCCCGGGACCGGTTTTTCGTCCTGAGTCGTGTTCTGCCGGTCCAAGGCCCGGCGAGGGCCCCTGTAGAGGCCAAAAGCTTCGCAGAGCCTCCGCCCTGATTTTTTCTCGATGCGTTGGATCTCTGGGACCGTGAGGCCCACCACGCCCCCCGCCGCCAGCTCCGCGAGGAGGCCCCGCCCCGGAGCCGGCGCCCGCCAGGCCCAGGCCGGCCACGTGCGCGCCGCCGCCGGGGCGCCGCCGCCGGAGGCCTGGCGCCGGGCCTCGGCGTCCGCGGCCGCGGCGACGGCGAGCTCGCCCCGAGGCGCTCCAGCGGAGGCCTCCCGGGAGCTGCCTCTCGCGAGCCTCCTCGGGAGCCAAGAGACGGGGGTCAATGCAGACGGGGGTCAGCCAGGGCACCAGATCCTGCAGGATCCTGCGAAGACACCCTCTGGCTGACCCGGGCTAGCGAGCCTCCTGCGTGGTCGCGAGGCGGCCGCGCCTATTGGCTGACCCGGGTTTGCGAAGATCTGCGCTGCAGTTTTTTTTTCCCCCGCATTGCAGTTTTTGGTTTCCCGCTGACCCGGGTCTGGATTGACCCGGGTCAGAATCAGCCACGCGCAGAGGGGGGTGGGGGGAGGGCTTCTTAGAAGCACCCCTGCTTCTTAGAAGCCGCGGCCCTGATCTATAGATGTAGGCTGGCGCCTTCTAAGAAGCAGCCTCCTTCTAAGAAGCCCTCCCCCCTCCGCCTCCTTCTAGGAAGCCCTCCCCCCTCCCTCCACCCCCTTGTGCGCGTTGCCAACCGCAGATCCCCGAAGCCTCCCGTCTCGTGCCGCCCGGTGCCGGGACGGGCGCCCAGGCCCCATCGCGATGTTCCCGCGCCTGGGGGCCGTGCTGTGGGCGTGCTGCTGCGCGCGCTCCAGGCGCGCGCGCCTCGCGTCCGGGGACGGCGGGCCATCGAGCAGGGGATGGACTGCAGAACCGATCTGCCCCAGGGTTGATTTATTTCTCCTGTCGAATCCACGGGCAAGTCGTGGAGCTTTCGCAGATCTGCGAAGGGTTGACGCATTTTTGTTGAAGAGTCGACGTGAAAATCAATTTGGGGGTAAGTCAATTCTGTAGTCGATCCCCCAGTCGAGTCAATGGAGAGGGAGCATGTTGCCAAATAATTTCCAGATGTCTGAAACATGTTTTAAACCATGTTCCAAACATGCAGAAAACAGGTGGTAAACATTTCTAGGGCATGTTTCAAACATTTTAAACACATGTTCAATTCACTGATCGGATTGTTAAGGTGCTCATTGTCATGGCGTCCACAACCCTCGCGGCAGTGCCCCCCCTCCCCCCCAGCGGCGCGCACAGGTTTCTGGTGTTGCCAGGTGCGTCCCTGGCCCAAGGTGGCCCCCAGGATTTCCAAGGAGGCCCCCCCCCCTGACGAGCGAAGAGCACGCACCCGTACCCCACAGCGGGGTTGGAGGAATGAGGACTGACCATGGGTACGGGTGCGGGTTGTCGGACCCCGGGGAAGGCTCCTGTTCGAGCGGGGACCCCCATCCGACAACACGCACCCAAAGCCCCATCCGTCCCTCCCATGGGTACGGGTGTGTGTTGTTCGTGCGTCGCCTACGGCCTCCAGGGCACCCCTCACGGGCCAAGGGGCCTTTAGTGGCTTCAAGATGGAGCCGTCAAGGCGGGAGCATCCCCGGGCCAGGGGCGCTGCTGGCAGCCCCCGAGCAAGGGTGTGGCGCGAGGAGCCCACTTTTTCGACGACGTTATCTGCTGAGTCGCGCCTGTTCTGTTGATTTCAGAGCTGAGGGTCCGTCCTGCAGGAGTATCAGTAAGTCGGGCCTGTCCCTCTACAGGAGGAGCATTCAAAAATAGTCAAGGCATAGTCATTGGAAGTTTTTTTTGACAATTTTTGAGTATGTTAGGGCATTGTTTTGGGATTATATATATATATATATATAATATTTCATTTCAACACGGCCTGTAGAGGGACAGGCACGACTTAAGAATATCAAGCATGGATCCTGGGCGAAGAAGTGTCCCCCAGGATGGGCCGGGACTTCGTGGGGCATCGCATCGAACAGTTGCTGCGTCGAGTGTCACGGAGGGCGGTACGAAGGCGTGAGCCCTCCGAGAAGTAAGGGGCCTTTCCAGTTGCCACCGCGGCTTCTCTAGGAAGCCTTGGTGGAGGCTCCTGGGCCTTGTCTTGCTGAGACGGATTCTCAGTGGGGGCCTTCCACAAGAAACCTTCCACAGGAAACCCAACCCTGAGACCCCAGGACGTCCATTGATTTATGGTGTGGGAACGTCACGCCTTCCATCGCAAAGCCACGACAAGCCCAAGAAACCCAGGGCACCCTGGAGGCGAGCAGGGTGTCTCTTGGCATGGGCCCCCACTGTAAGAGGCCGGGCGCCTTCTCAGAAGGCCGCCCCCCGCGCGCCCCCCCCCCCACTGTGTGCGCGCCGCCGCTGCCCGTGCTCGTCGGAAGCCCTCCGTCGCTGTGACGACCCTCCGTCGCGGCGGCCCTCCTCGTCCTCGGCCCCCCGGGGCCCACACTCCGGGCCTCGGGGGCGGCCCTCCGAGACGGGTCCGGGGACAAGGACCCGCCCCCGGTGCGGCGGCCAGGGCCTCCCGGGGCCCGCGCGGATGGCGCGAGCCACGGCCGTGGGCGCCTGGGCCTTCGCTCGCTGCTGCATGCGCGTCTGTGGGAGATCCCGTCCCCGGCGCTCTGCGCGGCTGCCCCCCCGAGAGGGTGTTCCCCGCTCCCCCCTCCCTGGCCTGGAGGGATCCCCAATCTGCCCCACGAGGGCTCCGAGAGCCCCCTCCCGTCCCCCGAGAGAGGGCCCCAGAAACCCAACTCGTCACACTCCAGAGGGAAGGCGCTTTTTCCCTGTTTTGGCAAGTGCGTTTTTTTTCGGGCTCACGAGTGATCCCGACGACCCTGGAGGCCTCCGAGATGACTCCAGGACAGCCCCATAGACCCCAAGAGCATTATGCTACCTCGGTCCCGCAGCGCCCCACGACAGCCCAGGAGGCGCCCACGACCCCCCCACAGGGCCCCGCAAGAGGGCACCGAGAGCGCCCCGAGAGAGCTCCCCAAAAGAAGGCCAGAGCGCAGCTGTCGGGCGCTCTCCCTTAGGTCGGTATCATTTAACCAATCCCCATCCCCAGCCCCATCCTCTTCGAGACCCCCACCAAATTACCACCCCGTTTGGGGATACACCCCTCGAAACCCGAAGGGAACGACCTATATCCCCATCTAGGGGGGTAAATCGGCCAGTGGGGCTCAGGCCACGCCGCTGGGGATGGGGATCGGATAGACGATACTCATTAGGACCCTCCCGGAAGCCTCCCGGGCGCTTCCAAGACGCCCCCGGGCGCCCCCGAGCGGCTCTCCAGCGGCCCAGGACACCCCAAACTGGACTTGCCTTCACGAAGGCGCAGGAGTCCGCAGGAAACAGCCCAGACTCCCGCAAGAGGCCCCGAAGCTGGAGAAAAGACTTCTGGAAATCGTCCCTGAACCCCCCCTCTGAGATCACGCGAAGCGTCTTACACGCTTCTCCTTTTCTCGGCCTCACGCATATCCCTCGCCCCCTGCCTCCGCTCTCCCTACCAGCTCTGCTCCTCCCCGCTCAGGGGTTGCGCGTAACTCTACGTCCAAAGCAGCATGCGTCATCACCAGAGACATCGTCGACCGCGCGTTGCTCGCCGCCGCGTCTGGAGCACCCTTGCTCCAAGCGAGCCCCCTCCCGAACGCCCCCGCTCGACGCCAGGACGCGCGGCCATCGACGCCGCGACGCGTAATCCCGACAATCCTGCCGACAACATCACTTCATTACCTGCCGCATATGCGGGGAGGCCGCCGACCCATCCCGAATGGTCCATCGACTGCGTCCGAGCCGCACCGACAGCCTTGCGGCGACGCGACGAAGCCCTCGCGGGATCGGGGCCTGTTGCCTGCGAGATACAGTGGGGGCCCATGCCAAGAGACACCCTGCTCGTTTCCAGGGTACCCTGGGTTCCTTGGGCTTCGATGCTTTTGCGACGGAAAGCGTGACGTTCCCAGACCAGACATCGATGGACGTCCTGGGGTCTCAGGGTTGAGCTTCCTGTGGAAGGCTTCTTCTCGACTGGCCTCCCCTGCAGTCGATGACACCGTCTCCGCCTCCAACCGTGCGAACGCATCAGACGCCGTGACGCCAACGACCTCACCACACGTTCCTCGCAGTCGGCTGCGGACCGGCGCTACCTGCAGCGACCCGGGCGCCCCGGAGGGGCGGCGCGCTCCCGCACGCCGCGCCGCCACGGCCGCTTGCGCAGCACGGGCATTCCGCAGATGCGCACCGTGGCATCCCTGGGCACTCAACAGATGCCCGCAAGGCTCCCGCCCCCCGAGCTGCATCCCCTCTACATGGACGTACCGACCTATTATGCCGATCAGGTTATCATCACCACCATGATTAGCATCATCGTTATCATCAGCATTGCCATCATCATCATCATCGTCGTCGTCGTCGTCATCACCACCATCACCATCAGCACCATCACCATCACCATCACCATCACCATCATCATCAGCATCATCATCATCACCATAGTCATCAGCATCATCATCGTCATCATAATCATCATCATCATCATCATCATCATCATCATCATCATCATCATCATCATCATCATCATCATCATCATCATCATCATCATCGTCATCGTCACCACCACCATCATCACTATCGTCGTCATCATCATCATCATAATCATCATCATCATTAGGTTCTCCGGCTTCAGCTTCTCCGGCTCCAACTCAGTGCTCATCACTCCAAGTTCTAGCCCCTGTATTCCGATGTTCCACTTCCATCTCCATCTATCGACCTCCAACCTCCACCAGTTCAGCACACCGACCTCTTACCTGCAGTATCCGGCTTTCGACCTCCACCGTTTACCCACAAAGCACTGCGACCTCCAGCCTCCAGTCACTCCCACCCATCTAGCCCCAAATCAACACGCCGACATCCAGCCTCAGGCATCCGACTTTCCGCATCAGGACGACTCCTGAGGACTGGCCCCCCCCGCGCCGCCCTGCTAGGGCCGGTCCCGACGGACGGACAGTGCGCGCTTCTTCTTCTTCGTTTTCTTCTTCTTCTTCTTCCCCGTGGCAGTTTCCATGGACCCTGCGACCGCACCCCATTTCCCTCCGATCCCAGAACACCTGATGCCGCTCACCATCCCAATACCGTGGATCAACCATTCGTCAACACTGCCGCCTCACGTTCGGGAGTCCAGACTGGGAGCGCATGCGGCCTGCATGCTTTCGAACATGCCACGGTGTCAGTCCAGTCTCGTCGGCGGGCCCTCGTCTACCCTGCGGGCCAGAGCTACTTCGAAGCCGTCGCGATGGCGGCTTGAGTCAGGGATTCCCCTGATTTTTTGATTGAGGCCATCGGCAGCCGTTATAACGCTCCTGTAAATTTTTCCTCGTCGGCATTGCTTCTGCTTCCGCGTGAACTCCACTGACGCCCGCCGCGTCGACGGGTGCACGCGTCGAAGGCGACCTGTGGCCGTCTGCTCTTGCCCGGAAGAAACAAGTGCATAAACATCAATTTTCGGAGCTCCGCGCGGAAGTCATGGACCGGCGCCACGGAGGGGGGTCAGCGTCGATCCGAGCAGTCCGCGCGGATCTCCGAAAGTTTATGTTAATGCATTTTTTTGTTCATCTATTTTCCGCCCTCACCCTCCTCCGCCTTTCCCCTCCTGCTCCTCGCTCCTCCGGCTTCGTAAATGCAGTCTTCGAGACCACGAGCTCGAGTCGACCAGAATCCCACCTCATGTCTTCTTCTGCCCACCCTTCTCGAGGGGCAGGCCGACGACGACGACGACGTCGCCGCCGCAACCGCCGTCGTCGTCGAGCATCGAGGTTCACGGTAGCCTCTGCTGGGGACCTCTAGAGACCTCCGGTTGTTTCCACGTCGGTCGTCGTCGTGGTCGCCGTCGTCGCCGCCGTCGTCGCCGCCGTCGTCGTGTTGGCGTCGCCATCGAGGATCGACGTTCAGGGTTGTTTGACGTTCTGGGCCCTTTCTGGAGCTCCGACTTCGGGGACGACCTCCAATCTGGAGGCCTCATGACGTTCTGGGCCCTCCTTGGGCCTCCAGAGGCCTCGGGGCCTCTGGAGACTTCGGGGGAGACCTTTGGAGGCCTCCTGACGACGTCGGTCAACGTCGCCGCCGCTGGCGCCGCCGCCGTCGTCGCCGTTGTCGTGGTCGTGATTGTCGTGGTGATTGCCATGGCGGTGTACACACGACGTCGTCTTTGTCGTCGTCGTCGTCGTCGTCGTCGTCGTCGTCGTCGTCCCCGTCGTCGTCTTAGTCGTAGTCGTCGTCTTTGTCGTTGTCTTTGTCGTCGTCGTCGTTGTCGTCGTTTGCGTCATCGTCGTCGTCGTCGTCGTCGTCGTCGTCGTCGTCGTCGTCATCGTCGTCGTCGTCGTCGCCGCCGTCGTCGTCATCGTCGGCGTCGGCGTTGGCGTCGGCATCGGCGTCGCCGTCGGCATCGTCGTCCGCCGCCGTCGTCGCCATCGCCGTCGTCGTCACTGTCGCCATCGCCGTCGCCGTCGCCGTCGCCGCCGCCGTCGCCGTCGTCGTTGTCGTCGTCGCCGTCATCGTCGTCGTCGTCGTCGTCCTTGTCCTCGTCGTCGTCGTCGTCGCCCTCGTCCTCGTCCTCGTCGTCGTCGTCGTCCTCGTCCTTGTCCTCGTCGTCGTCGTCGTCGTCCTCGTCGTCGTCCCCGTCGTCGTCCCCGTCATCGTCGTCGTCGTCCCCGTCGTCGTCCCCGTCGTCGTCGTCGTCGTCGTCGTCGTCGTCGTCGTCGTCGTCGTCGTCATCGTCGTCGTCGGGTGCTTGGTTGGGGCGCTTTGGGGTAATCTGGGGCTCCTATTTGGGTCCTCTGCGGGTTCTGGGGCCCTCTTGGAGCGTTTTGGGCCCCCTTCGGAGAGCGATTGGGGCCTCGGGAAATCATGTATCACCAGACCCTTGGTTGGTACATACTTCCTGGGTGCGCTGGGGCGCTTTTGGGTTCCATTTTGGGTCCTCTGCGGCTTCCACGGCCCTCTCGGGCCGCTCTTGGTGCCCTCTAGGGGCGAAGTGTTGTTGGGCCCGTGTTGCGATCCTCCGCGGCTTGAGGGGCCCTCTTCGAACGCTGCCTTGGCAACTGATGCGCCACTGGAATCTTCGCTGATACGTGTCTCCCGGGGTTCGGTGACAGCCGTAGGTGGTCACATGCGAACCCTACCCCTACCTCCCACGACTTCTGAGGGTGAGGGTGGGGTTCATTTCGTTCGGGAGCTCCCGAGCGAAGTGATCCCCACCCTCCCCCTCAGAAGTCGGGGGGGGTAGGGGTAGGGTTTGCATGTGGCCCCCTAAGCCGCCTTGGAGCGCTGCGGGTCCCTTCTTGGTGAGCCTCTGCGGCTCTTCGGCCCTCGTGGTGCGCTTCCAGGCACCTCCGAGGAGGTCTCAGGAAGTGCAGTCAATCACCACCCACCAAACCATCCCAACCCAACCCGAAGGCCTCAATTTGCCCCCTATTTCTAGTGGGGGGCGGTCGGGGAACATTGAAAAAACACATGGAACCCGTATCCCCCCCAACCCGAAATTCGGGTCAAATTCGGGTCTTCGGGTTGGGTTGGGGTGGTCTGGTAGGTAGGCAGTCAACCCGCATCATCAGGATGCACGATAGGATGCAAGGGCCTTGGAAGGGCATGCCGACACTCATCGAGCGGGGGGCGGCCGGCGAAAGCGGCCAAGAATGGGCCGAAAGGGAAGGATGCAAGGGTACTCTGGGTTTCTTCATTAGTGTGGGGGGGTACCCCCCCGATGGGGGTCAACCTCGCCTCGTCGTCGCGCCGCGACGGGGGTCGGAGAGCCTTCGGCGCGCGGCGGCTGCCCGCGACGGGGGTCGCAGTGGGGCTGTCGGCGGGGTTGACGCCCCCTTGACGCTTCCAGTCGACACTGCCCCCCTCCTACCCCTCCTCTCCTCGTCCTCCTTCCTCTTGGCGTACGGTCAGGGCGCAGAGACCAGGAACAGCTTGAGTCAGGGAGGAGATCGTCCGTGGTTGTTCCTCTAGCGCCGCATACGATGTGGCGCGTCCATGGCCAAAGAGGCACTTCGTTCCACATTTAGCTTTCATTTTGGTTGCCGAAAGACTGTACGAGGGAGGAGGCTGGCAGGGCAGCGGGGATCATAGGACTGATAGGTTCTATGACTTACGACAGTTCTTTTCCACACCGAAAATCAAAGGTTCCCAGGGGGGGGCGCTCGTGTAAGTGCGGAGCCCCGCATACTGGACTTCAGGGGGCCATGCCCACACGTGTGTGTTGCATCTTTCCCTGCGCTGGCCGACCAGGTATGTCCTCTCGAAGTGCAAGCAGGTGCCTCCGCCGGCGGACGCAGTGGTCGTGTTTGCTCTTGTCCTCGTTTTCCTCCCCTCTGCGTCAGCGCCCGCCAACTCGTCTTTGCTTTCTTGGCCTTCCTCCATGTTCCCGCCCTCCTCGTCCGCTCTCTCCCGCGCGGGCGTCTTGGATCGGCGCTGGCCCCCCAGAGCGCAGAGCGCACTAGAGGCGGCGTCGGCGGCGCCGCCAGGGGGTCCGGCGCCGATCCAGGGAGCCCGCGCTGGCCTCGGAGAGTGCACGTTCACGGAGGTGCCCTCCGTTTGCCACAGCTGCCCGTTCTCTTTTCGCGGGCGAGCACGGCTTCAGCTGTGCTTTCCTGTCGCCGCGACCTGCTGGCCCTTGGAGTCGTGGCGTCCCGTCCTCCTCCTTGAGTGGTTTCCTCATCCATCCCCCCTTCCCCCCTCCTGGCCTTCCTGCTCGGCCTTCTCCTCCTCCTCCTACTCCTCCTCCTCCTCCTCTTCCGTCCTCATTGTGCACGTCTTCCGCCTTGTCCCCTCTGCGTGCGCTCATTGTACTCGCATTATACGCTCGTCCTCTTTGAGGTCATCGTTTTTTCATCCCCCCTGTCCCTGCTCATTCTTCTTGTCTTTCTCTAGGTTTGTCTATCCTTGATGGTACTGGTTATTTCTTTCTGTCCTATGTCTATACAAAAATAGACGCGCATCTGTAACATGTATTCACGTGTATGCACATATGTTTGTATACACATATCTACACATGTATGCCTCTCCCTCTCTTCCTCTTCCTCTTTTTCCCAACCATCCTGTGGTGTTCTGTTCTCGTTTTGGAATAACGGTCCCCGCGTCCTCCTCCTCCTCCTCCTTCTCCTCCTCCTCCCCTCCTCCCTCTTCCATCACCACCCTCCTCCTCCTCCTCCTCCTCCTCCTCCTCCTCCTCCTCCTCATCATCATCATCATCATCATCATCATCATCATCATCATCATCACCCGTTTCAGCAAACCCCTCAACGTTTCGTGGCCCAATTGGGAGCCCCACCGAAGGTCCCAGTGCTACCGTCCGCATGCGTCCCGCACACCCAGTACAGCGTTTCGTGGCCCCATAGGGAGCCCCTCCGAAGGTCCTAGTGCTACCGTCCGCATGCGTCCCGCACACCCAGTACAGCGTTTCGCGGTCCCACAGGGAGCTCCACCGAAGGTCCCAGTGCTACCGTCCGCATGCGTCCCGCACACCCAGTAGCCCCACCTAAGGTCCCAGTGCTACCGTCCGCATGCGTCCCGCAAACCCAGTACAGCGTTTCGTGCCTCCATAGGGAGCTGCACCAAAGCCCCCAGTGGGACTGTTCGGAAGGAATGAATTCGGCATTTTCACCAACCGTTTCGTGGCCCCATAGGGAGCTGCACCAAAGCCCCCAGGAGGAACCGTTTGCATGCGTCCCAGAAACCCAATTCGGCATTTCACCCAGCCAGTACAGCGTTTCGTGGCCCCATAGGGAGCTGCACCAAAGCTCCCCCAGTGGGACCCTCCGCATGCGTCCTGGAAGCCCAATTTGGCATTTTCGCACATCCAGTACAGCGTTTCTTGGCCCCATCGGGAGCTGCACCAAAGCCCTTGGACGCCTCTTGGGGCCTCCTGGAGCCCTCTTGGTTCGGAAGGCTTATCCGTCTTAAGGCCCTCTTGGGCCGTCTTGGGCGCCTCTTGGGCCGTCTTGGGGCGCTCTTAGGCTGTTTTGGGGCCCTCTTGGAGGACTCTTGGGCCGTCTTGGGTTGGTCTTGGGGACTTTGAGCCATCTCGGGGCGTCGGGAAACAGAATAGGCGAGAACGCCAACATCGATCAGAAACCTTAGGAACATCTATGATTGCCTCTTGGGGCCCTCTTGGGAGGCCTCTTGGAGGCCTTTTGGGGCGACTTGGCGGCCTCTTGGGCCATCTTATGACCATCGTGGGTGTCTTGGAACGATCTTCAGCGTCTCGGGGTCCCCTTGGACCGTCTTTGGGGACTCGTGGGGCCCTCTTGGCCCGTCTTGGGGCCCTCTTGGGCCCGCAACGATCATGCGACAAGATGCGCTGGACCCCAGGGTGCACGCAAGAAGCCCCAGAAGACTCCAAGGGATTTTAGGCGAAGGACCTGAGGACACACCTACTCCTTGTCCAGCGGCACGGCGGCGGATACATGTGTATATATATATATATACACATACACATATTTAATGTCTAGCGCAGGTGGGAGCTAGGGCTTTTACGGAAAGGCCTCAAGTTGAGGCGCCGGCCAGAATAACGACTCATGTCTTACAACGGCCGCACTTCCCTCATGATCAAACAATTGTTCGTTGCAGGAGGCGTGAACCAGATACACCATAGGATTCTACACTTCGTCTTCGATCACGCATGGAGGGAGAACCAGTTCTGTTCACCCGCTTCCTTCAACCTTCTTGCCACGGCCCGTTCCTACCGTGACCCGGCATTTGGGAGACCGTCAAGGACAAACATCTAGAAAGGCGACGGCGAGCAGAAGGCATAGTGCACAACGGCATGGGCTACCGCATCAAACGGGAGGATGTCTTCTGCTTGGCGTTGGGTCCTGTGAGACGCATGTATGGATTATACAGGCATGGAGAGCCTTGCGCCCGCAGCTCGTTCGTACAATCTGCACGCTGTGGACATTGCCTGGGCCCGTGTGCACGGGCTGAAGGAGATCCCACTGCCAGACCACGTGGTGCCAAGCGGATCAAGAGCGGCAGCGACAATTTGAAAAATGGTTGCGTCTCACATGTTCTGAGTTGCACTCTCATTAGTTTTTGGCGTGAATGCAACTGCCTGACTTTTGTTGTAGACTGTAAGCCGCTTGCGGAGGTCATTTGTGGACACGCTCCGCTCCAGGACGCTTCGCTGTCCCCTGCCTTCAGACGCTTTGATGCCAGCCTCGCGCGCAGCGGACCCAGTCGTTTGGCAACAGCGCAGCTGTAGCAAGATCGCCGACTTTTTGGCCAACTTTCGAATGGACATTGGTCGTACACGGATGAAGGAGGTCGCGTCTGCAGTGACAATTATTGTCCTTCCATGTCGAATTTTATATGCCATTCCGACGGTGGCAGCCGACACGGACGCTCTTCGGCGGCCGCTTGGGTTGTCGAAGCCGTTGTTGGCCAACACGGCCATCGTCACACATTTCCCGTGGCATTTCGCGGCATATATTTCGAAACGCCGGTCTTATCTTTCACCGCCTAGACCGTCGCCTTAGACGACGCTGTCTCGTTCGTTTCACGATTTAGTAGGCGATCGAAGCATGATAAGCGGACGCGCGTATAGCCGTCCCCCTCCTTTTTCTTCCCAGTTTTAGGCCTGTCACCGTGGTGACAGAGGGCGTCCGAAAGAAATAATATCGATAGATAGACCGGAAACGATACATCTACATATATACACATATGGATCGGCACCCACACATACATGTATATTTTTCGATGTGTTTTCACATATGTGTGTATATACATGTTTAAACGCACCTATCTAGGCATACCGATATATAGGCACACGTGTGTATATATATTTATGTATCGATCGGCGGACATCTCTACACATGCAGGTCTATATCTACATGTGTATGGACATATCGGCATCTGTACACATGTCTACATACACAAATATATACAGATATAGGTATACGTACACGTACCTATTTACATGCATATATGCATGAACATATTTACGCACATATGGTTCCCATACATATGCATGCTATATGGATACATATATGCATGGATTTACACGCATGTGTATATTTACATAAATCAATGCATATGCACGTGTGTCTGTATGTATGTTTGCATGTAGGTCGGTATGTAGGTCGGTATATCGGAAACTATGTGGATATGCATGCATGCATGTATGTGTATATTTTCATAATTCGATGTGTATATATGTATATATGTGTGTATATATATACAAGCATATATATATATATATATATATATATATATATATCGGAGGTGAGGGGGTGAGATCGAAGTGGAACGGAGAGCTTCCCTACCAGAAAAACGGTTTCGGTTTCGTGTTCGTGGGTGCCGTGCGTGCGAGCGAGGCGAAGTTGCGTGGGCGGGCGAGAGGAAAGTCTCCTGTGGCTGAGGCGCGGTCGGACCAAATAATTCCCTTCCGCAACTGGTGCCGCGCGGTGTCCCGCCAGTGTCCCGCTTCCGGCTCAGGCTGAGGCGCGGCCGGACCAAATGATTCCTTTCCTGCGTCCGGTGCCGCGCGTGTCCCGCCAGTGTCCCTCCGGTGTCCCGTCGGTGTCCCGATGATGATGATGATGATGATGATGATGATGATGATGATGATGATGATGATGATGATGATGATGATGATGATGATGATGATGATGATGATGATGATGATGATGATGATGATGATGATGATGATGATGATGATGATGATGCTGATGATGTCGATGATGTTGATGATGATGATGGTGGTGGTGATGGTGATGATGCTGGTGTCCCGATGATGATGATGATGTTGACGATGATGATGATGATGCTGATGATGGTGATGATGATGGCCATTGTGGTGATGATGATGGTGTCCCGATGATGATGATGCTGATGATGCTGATGTTGCTGATGATGGTGTTCCGATGGCGGTGTTGATGATCATGATGTTGATGATGATATGTGCATATGATGATGCTGCTGATGATGAAGATGATGATGGTGTCCCGATGATGATGGTGTCCCGATGATGATGTTGTCGATGCTGAAGGTGCTGGTGATGATGATGATGCTGATGGTGTCCCGATGCTGCTGATGATGATGGTGATGATGACGATGATGGTGTCCCGATGATGGTGTTGATGATGAGGATGATGATGAGGTGATTATGATGATGTTGATGATGGTGGTCCGATGATGATAATGATGCTGATGTTGATGAGGATGATGGTGTCCCGATGATGATGATGATGATGGTAATGATGAGGATGACGATAATGATGGTGTCCCGATGATGATGACGTTGATGATGGGATGATGTTGCTTATGAGGATGATGCCCCGATGATGATGATGGTGTTGTTCATGATGATGATGAGATGATGATTATGATGATGCTGGTGTTCCGATGCTGATGATGATGGTGTCCCGATGAGGATGATGCTGGTGATGATGATGGTGTTCCGATGATGATGATGATGAGGACGATGATGTTGATGATGATGGTGGTGAGGTGATGGTGATGGTGTCCCGATGATGATGATGCTGATGCTGATGACGTTGATGACGATGATGTTTACGATGATGATGACATTGATTGTGATATCGATTGTGGTATCGATCGTGAGGCCGATAGTCATACCGAATGTGAGATCGTTCGTGAGATCGATAGTGATATCGATAGTGAGATCGATTGTGAGATCGATAGTCAGATCGATTGTGAGATCGATCGAATGAAAAATATCGAGCGGTATCGATTGTAAGATTGATCGAGTGAGATCGATCGAGCGAGACCGATAGTGGCATCGATAGTGAGATCGATCGTGAAACCGATCGAGTGAGACGTTGGTTCCTCCTTCCCCCGAACCTCCTTATCACCCGAAGGGTGGTCGTGTAGGTGTTTATATGTTTACACACACATATATATATATGTATCGACACATCCATATGCTTACACACATATATATATGTATATATATATATATATATATACATGCATACATGCATACATACATGCATACACACACACACACACGTATACACATATATATATATATATAGATTGAGAAATATACAGATAAGTCTTCGTGGTGTAACTCATGGCCTGGAAATTCCGCGATTTGAGTGCGTTCGCGTGCGGTAGCATCTGGCAATCAATGCGACAGCGCCGGCTTCGCCTCGATGGGTGTCGATCCAGCCTCGATCTCGATCCAGCGTCGATTTAGCGTCGGTTAGCGCCGATTTGCAAGAGCCAGCAAGATGACACGGGAGGCCCTCATGAGCTGCCACAGAGCGGCGGTGCCTTTGTTCCCCACCCCCCCAGCAGTGCCGTCGTTGTCCTTCTCCTCCTCGACCTCCTCCTCCTCGACCTCTCTGCGCCCTCCTACCCTCCTGGCCCCCTCCTCCTAGAGATCGGGATATCAAGAAATATCCAGACTGACGGGTCCCTCCGATCTCAGGTGAGATCTACGCTGGTCTTGGGCAGTCGACGTCCCCATCTTGTCGGACCGCACCGCCAGCTGTCGGCAGCAGCCTGGCGCCAGACATTTTCGGAGCTCTTCGTCGGTTCTCGGAGGTTTTCTCGCCCTGGGATGGCTTTCCAGCAGGTGCGCCTCGCCGAGAGCGTCCCGAGGGCGTCCCGAGGGTGTCCGAATCGTCCCGAACGGCCGCCGGAGGCCCGAGCTGTGGCCCGAAAAACTGCTCGGAGGGGGAAGGCAGGCAGGGTCCATTGCGATCCGATCGGTTTGCTTCGATGACGGTTCTGGCCGCTTCCGGTGCTCGCATGGGCGCTGCTGTGTATCCCGAGGCTGCCGACCCGATTCGATGCCGTGCCGATGCGGCACTATGCGACGCTCATTCTGTTTGGATCCCATTTCCCGATTCGATACTGACTGTTCCTGCCCAGACATCCGACGTCGTGTTTTTTTGTTGTTGTTTTAATTTCTGTGCGGAGTCCCCAGACGTCCCGAGCCATCATCGTCAGAGCCGTCCCAGCCCCTACTGGTACACTGTAAGTGCCCAGTGGCCCTTCCAGCACATGCACTCGAACACACCTCGGTGGGGATGGGTGCTGTGGGACGGGACGGAGACGAGACGGCACCCTTTCGCCTTCCCATCTCTGGTAGGTTCGCGTCGTGTCGATCGGCAGCGACCCCGCCGCAGGTGTTCAATGTTGAACGCCGCTGGCGACCCAGAATCGTTCGACGATGAACGATCTAACGCTTCGGAAGCGTCCGATCGTGCAAGGCTTAACGAACCCGCGGTGTCGGGAACCAACCTCAGGGCCGTCACGACGCGAACCCGCCGTAGGATGGGGTTGGTCGGACGGTGCCGAGGTTTCCCCAGTGGGAGTTTGGGGGCCTGGGGACGTTAACCGATAACGTGTCTATCAACAATCTTATGTTGCATGATGTTCTGGTCGAGTGCGTTTTGACCAGGGGCGTCTTGTCCGGGGATGTCGTGATCGAAGATGCTTTGGCCAACTGTGGTCGGCTATACGAGAGAGGGCCCTCTCGCCAGAGTGACCTGTGGTGCGGGCACACCAGGGTTCCCAGAGGGCTGACTGCCATGCGATGGCAGCGGCGTGCGCGCTCCGATTCGGCCGCCCCGCGGCCCCCGGAAGCTGCGCACCAAGGGTCGCTCTTGCTGGGGGCCGTCTGTTGCGCGGCGGCGAGCGACAGGGGGGGAAGGGAGAAGGAGAAGGCCTCCTCGGAAGGCGGCGGGGCCTCTCAGGAGGCTTCGGGCCTTCCGAGCCTTCTCAGGAGGCCTTCTCCTTCACGCTCCTTCCCCCTGGGGCTCGCCGCCGACTTGCGTGCAGCCGACGTGGTCTGCTCAAGGGCCCCTCCCCGGGGCCAGGCCGCCGTCCCGAGCGCCGTGCTCCGGCGGCCCCCACCCCATGCGCGGCCGGGAGCTGCCCCCCCCCCCCCCCCCACACCAAAGGCCGAGGATGGCGCGGCACCTCCGCCCTGCGGGCCTCTCTGGTCGCTCTTGCTCGGCGGCGAGCGAAGGGGAGGAAGTGAGAAGGAGAAGGCCCTCTCAGAAGGCGGTCGGACCTCTCGGAAGCCCTCGCGCCTTCCGAGAGGTTCTCTGTGTCTCCGGGGAAGGCTCAGAACACTTCCCAAAAGGCCGGAAGATCTCCGCGCCTTCCGAGAAGGGCCGCCCCCTCGCACTTCCCCCCCGGGCTCGCCGCCGATCCGAGGCCCAGGGATGCTGGGCCTCCCAGATGGGGCCCGAGCAGCGCAGCGCCGTCATCAGAGGGGGGGTGTAGTCTTAAGTCGGGCGTGTCCCTCTACAGGGGGAATCTTCGAACATAGTAAAGCATAGTCTGGGGACGTTTTTTGTTGTTTGTGTTTATTTTGTTGTTTTGTTTATACATATATATATATATATATATGTTTATATATATATATATATATATATATATAGCATTTTGTTTGACTATTTTGCGGGTACTGTGTGACTACTTTTTATTTTTTGTCCAAAATCACCCTGTAGGGGGACATGCCCGACTTAAGGGTAGTCTGGGGATCGCTCCTCCTCGACATGACCTTTTCGACCCGGGAGTTGTTCCTCGGTTGCGGCCGTCGAGGCCCGTCGTCGAGCCCCGGGACTATCAGTAATGGATCCGGGGCGCAAAGCTGCCGCCGGGGAAAGGGTCGGGAGCTCTGGTAGAGGTTTCCCAGATGGGGTCGGAGGGTCGCGCCGTATCGCCGATACATTGGCGATGCGCTCGATGTGGATGGAGCCCGATGCTCTCCACGCGGACGGCGCCGATGCGTCGGTGATGCATCGGTGATGCAGCGGCGATGCGGCGCGACCCTCCGACCCCATCTACTCGGACCCCATCTGGGAGGCTTCTAGGGAAGCATGGGGACAATGTTCTTAGGCGCCTCTTGGACCGTCTTGGGGCTCTCTTGGGCCGTCTTGGGGCCCTCTTGGGGACCTGTCGGCCGTCTTGGGGCGACGTAATTAGGGGGCCTTGTGAGGCGTCTTGGACGCCGCCCGTGCCCCGCAAAGCGAAGATGCCAAAGATGCCAACTTTCCTTGAGAGATGTGGCGATTTGGGCCTTCTGGCGCCCTCTTGGGGCGCCCCTGAGAACGCCGAGACCACGACGAGACGCATCCATCTCTTTCTTTTTCCTTTCGCAAAGCCTAGGACACGAACTGTGTTGGCGGATTGAGCCTACCACCACTGAAATACAATGCTGCGCGGTCAACAATATTATGGCGATACTAGGTGAAGGCGAGAATGCTGCTGCCACCGGTGACTTCGAATGCTCTTCGTCACGACCAGTGCCGCCTCTTCCAGAGCCAGGATCTTCAGCAGTGAACGAAGGAATGGGTGTCGCCAGAAATGTTCCTGCGAGGAGGAAAAGGAGGAGGAGCAGGAGGAGGAGGAGGAGGAGGAGGAGGAGGAGGAGGAGGAGAAGGAGGAAAGGAGGGAGACGAGAACGAGGAGGAGGAGAGGAGGAGGAGGAGGAGGAGGAGGAGGAGGAGGAGAGGAGGAGGAGGGAGGAGGAGAGGAGGGAGAACGAGGAGGAGGAGGAGGAGGAGGAGGAGGAGGAGGAGGTCACATGTCGCGTGCGCCGTCGGCGCAGCCCCGGGCCGCAGCGGCGGGGCCCCCGGCGCGCCGAGCGAGCCGCCCGGGGATCCCCTGCGGCGGCCGCCACCCGTCGCGCGCAGGCCTGGCGGCGCGTCTGCGGCTGCCTGCAGGCCCCCTGGGGGGGAGGGCCCTCTACTTAAGTCGGGCATGTCCCTCTACAATTCTCCGACGCATGCTTAAGTCGGACGTCAGGAGGAACTCGCGCGATATTGCCTCGCCCCTTCAACAGATCTCTCACGAGGAGCGAGCAGCCTACACAGCAGATACACGCGTGAAGAAATCTCGCCATCAATGTGAGACTACGCGGGGTACTTAAGTCGGGAAGAATTTCCCCAAATAGTGAAACAATTGTCAGGGGACGATTTCTGGATTATTTGTGGTTATTTTTTGCAGATTTTTTATTTGTCTTGCCAAATCCGCCTGTAGAGGGATACGCCCGACCCAACCCTATACCAGGGGGGGGGGCATGGTGACCCCATCCAGCGCAGCTCAGTCAGGGGGGAGGGTCGTCTGGAGATCGCTCCTCCTCGGCGTTATTTTTTTGATCCGGGAGTTGTTCCTCGGTTTCGGCCTGTGGGGCCCGTTGTCGCAAAGCTACCCCCGGGGAAGGGGTCGGGAGCTCTGATAGAGGCCTTCAGATGTGGGCCCGAGCAGATTCATGGAGTCGGAGGGTCGCGCCGTATCGCCGATGCATCGGCGATGCGGGTCGATGTGGAGTCCGATGTTCTCCGCGCCGACGGCGGCGATGCAACGCCGACGTCGCCGATGCATCGGCGATGCGTCGCGAGCCTCCGACCCCATCCAGTCGGACCCCATCTGGGAGGCATCTACTCAACGGGGGGTATCTACTCAACGAAACGCTATTACTACTAATCATTAGACGAAAAGTAGGAACAATAATGCTGACGAGAGGAATACTGCTAACAGTAATATGAGGAATGCTGCTAATACCAACACGGGAATAATCATACTAGTACTAATACTCAGAAGAATAACAATTATAGCAATAATGATAATGATAAACCAATTGTAATAATACGAATGAAATCGCTGACCTTTAACTACAATGCAATGGATAAGAGTACTATTACGAAGACTACTACTACTACTACCATTCATAGTAATACCAATACTAAATTTAAGACTCGCATGAATACCAATAGTACAACTGATATCAGGTTAATTCTAATCGTAATGAGAAGATTAATGGTAATAACCATAATCATAATACAACTAATATGAACAGTCTCAATATTAACAGGAATCATAATCATAGGAGGGACGGGGAGAGGGACGGCGGCGGCAGCGGCGGCGGAGGGGGGATGATGATGATGCTGATGATGGTGCTGCTGCTGATGATGGTGCTGCTGCTGATGATGATGATGATGATGAGGAGGAGGAGGATGAGGAAGAGGAAAGTGAGGATGAGGATGAGGATGATGATGATGATGATGATGATGATGATCATGATGATGATGAAACTGATGATGATGATGATGATGATGATGATGCTGATGATGATGATGATGATGATGATGATGATGATGATGATGATGATGATGATGCTGATGATGATGATGATGATGATGATGATGATGATGATGATGCTGCTGCTGCTGCTGATGATGATGATGATGATGATGATGCTGATGATGCTGCTGCTGCTGCTGCTGCTGCTGATGATGATGATGATGATGATGGATGGAGGAGAGGAGGAGGAGGAGGAGGAGGGAGGAGGAGGAGGAGGAGGAGGGGAGGAGGGGGGACGTCGCATCACATCGGGGGCAGGGGGTTGGGCGCGCCGCCTCGCACCCCGCGCGGGCGGTCGTGGTGGAGGCCACGGGACCCACCAGGAGAACTCCTGCTGGGAGAGAGCCTTCCCCTCCCCGCCCTCGTCCCCACCCCCACCCCCTCAGCGTGCTCCTCCCGTGACCCTCCTCGCGCCCGCCTCCCCCCCTCATTTTGGCTTGGGCCGCACGAAAGGGATAGGGACAGGGGGGGGTTGCGAAATCTGCTGCACGCAGATGGTTTCCGCCCCGCCGCGGGGCCCACTCCTCGATGCATGGGCGCCTCCCGGCGCCAGGAGGCCCCAGGGCAGCCGGCCACGCGAGCTGATTCTTTGCCCTGCCCTTGGCCATCCTACCCTTTCGCCCCCCCCCCCCCCCCCCCCCGATCGTCGTGCTCCTCCCCAGTCCGCCGCCCCCTTTAGGGGGCCGCATGCGAACCCTACCCCTACCCCCCACGATTTCTGGGGGGGAGGGTGGGTTGCACTTCGCTCGGGAGCTCCCGCGCGAGGTGAACCCCACCCTCCCCCTCAGAAATCGTGGGGGGTAGGGGGGTAGGGTTCGCATGTGGCGCCGCCCCCCTCTCCGCCCCGCACGCCGGGCGGCGCCGCAGGCCTCCCCGGTCCTGCTCGTGGGCGCGCTGCTGGCCGTGGGGCTGATCGTCACCGTGCTGGCGGGGGGGGGGCGGGTTCATGGGCGCGCGCGGGCGCCCCGTGGCCGAGAGCGGCGGGGGTTGACGAGGGGGAGGAGGAGGAGGAGGAGGAGGAGGAGGAGGAGGAGGAGGAGGAGGAGGAGGAGGAGGAGGAGGAGGAGGAGGAAGAGGAACAAGACGAGGAGGGGGACGAGGGGGAGGAGGAGGGGGATGAGGAGGAGGAGGAGGAGGGGGGATATACATTCAGGCGATCGCAAACATGGATCAAGGGGGCGTGGATTAGCGACGGGTCCCGTCTCCATGGGAAGTCTCGGACTTCCGCCGCCGAGCGGGGCGGCACCAGCCGCATTTTGGGGAGGGCACCTCCCCCGATCCATGGATTTGGTGACCGCGCGCCGAATCCATGGATCGCTAACCCATTTTTGCGTGCCCCCGAGAAATGGGACGGGACGCATCGACCCCCCAATCGCTCATGGATCGCCGATGGGGGTCTGACATAGCCCCACCCCGCCCAGCAAGGTGCGGATTTGCTATCGGGGCCCATCGCCGAGCTATAAGCGGTGTATCGCCGATTCCAGGTCGGTGCATTCAAGGGAGGAAACCACCCAGACCCGACAATCGGCTTACTAAGCGGCCCTGGGCGTTTACTAAGCGGCCCTGCCTTGTTTGATTCCTTCTTCGGGTGCGTCTACTCAGCGGATTCGCGTGTCGGGGTGATTGTGGGGGGGGGGTTCTGCCCCCTAGGCATTCCCCCCCCCCCCCCTAGCCAGTACCCCCCTATCGTTGCCCCCCAGAGGACGGCGGCCCCAGGCGTCCGCTGCCTCGACAGTCCCCTGGCCCTCCACCCTCCACACCTTGCCCCTGGCAGGGGGCTGATGTCTTCTCGATCGTCTCGAGGGGGCGAACGATTGCACAACCATGCATTTTCGGAGCTCCGCGCGGAGTTCTTGGATGGGCGCGGCCCCTGGTGCGCTCCGCGCGCCTGGGCGGGGGGCCCCGCTGCGGTCCAAGAAATCCGAGGGGACCTTTGCACGTTTGTGTCTCTGCCATTTTTTCGGTTTCGCGAGATCTGGCGCGTGGGCGCCGGATCCACGGATCGGGGACGGTCCCCCGCCCGCAGAGTGAGGCCAATGCCGCCCGATTTGGGGACGGAGCGCGCCGAGTCTGCGCGGAAGCGGGGCCCGCCGCGCATTCACGCGTCGCCAGATCCAGGTTTGCGCTTCTTCGAGGCAGAAGTTTGACGTTGGCCCAGGAAGTAGAACAGTGAGGACCCCCCCGCGGCCTCTCTCGGGGGGTGTGGGGAACAGCGCCCCCCCCCCCGCGGCGAGAGATGTATGGCTCTTCCCCCATGGCTTTGTATAATTCCTGGACTCGCATCAGGCGCAGGGGCAGGAAGGCAGGAAGGACCCAGACATCCGGTGCGTCTTCTTCGCGTGCGGGCGCGCGCGCTCAGGTCCAGGGGGGGAGGAAACCCAGAGCTCCGACGATGTGACTTCTTCAGTCCGGGCGCTTCTCCTTGGTTTCGGCCCTCGGGGCCCGCTTCCTGCCCAGGGACCGTCACACATAACACTGCCCCCCCCCCAGGAGGCAGTCGGGACCATTCCTGGGCCACGCGCATTGACGAGCACACCGTCAGACGTCTGGGGGGAGAGGACGGCACCAGACATCGTGGAGGGCGTTTCCTGTGTCCTTGGGCAGTCGGGCGGGCGGGCGGGACACTTCGCCTTCCTCGTCGTCGTCGCGGTCGTCGTTGTCCTCGTCGTCGTCGTTTGTCGGCGACAGGCGTCGTCGCCATCGCGGACGTCATCGTCGTCGTCGTCGTCGTCGTCGTCGTCGTCGTCGTCGTCGTCGTGGTCCAGTCCTCGTCGTCTTCGTTTGTCGACGCCGAGGGCATGGTCGACGTCGTCGGGGAGAGGGAGAGCAGGGTACCCCCCCCCGACTTTCACTATGGAGTGGGGGTGGGGGGAGGGGGGGGGTTGAACCCCCCACGTCCCGACTTTCGAAGGGCGGGTTGAACTACCCTGACTTCTGCCCAGCGTACTCAGAAGACCCTCTTTCAGACAGCCGACGCTTCGCTATAAAAGCCGAGGCGGCCGGTTAGTCCCCGCTCTCTTCCTCTGGAGGCCTGCCTCGGGCTGTGGGGCAGTCAGAGTGCGACTCGGAACGAGAAGTTGGCTCTGGATGATGGGCCTGTTTTCCACCACCACCACCACCACCATAAGTTGGAGGGGGAGGGGGTCCTCCTCCACCACCTCCTCCTCCTCCTTCTCCCTCTCCTCTGCGCCCTCCTCCTCCTCGTCCTCCACCTCCTTCCCCCCTCCAACCTCTTGCGGTGGTGGTGGACGACAGGCCCATCACCGGAGGAGGAGTCGAGATGTCCGGGTGCCCGCGCCTCGGAAACGTCGGAGCGCCGGATGGCAGGGCCCATCGCGGAAAGTTGATTACCGAACCCCCCTCCCCCATAGAATCTTAACACGGGCGGTTTGCGGGGTCCGCGGATCCGATTTCTTCCGGTCCCCTGGTTTAATTTAATAATATAAGTTTAAAACAGGGTAGAAATCGGATCCGCCGTAAAAAATAAGACCGGACACGGATCCAGCTAATCCGAAATCGGATCCGTACGGACGGAAATCTGATCCACCGAAACAAACACCAAAACCACATTTGGATCCGCGCGAGCTTCGTGAGATCCGACGGCGGTTATCTCATGCGGGTCTGCTCAAGACTTCACACCGTCGTTCCGGGTCCAAGAGGAGAAAACTTTCGTCCTGGGGATGAGCGTTTTGGCCTTCGGACTCGTTGGTTACCACATAGCCGACACCACACCGCATCGAGCTGGATCGGCGGCGCGCCCGGGGGGGGGAGGCGAGAGGGAGCAGGCCTTCTCGGGAGGCGGCGGGGGCGTCTCGAGCCTCCTCGGCCTTCCGAGAGGTTTTCCGTGTTCTCGGGGAGGGCTTTAGGAACTTCTCAGAAGGCCCGAGGCCTTCCCGAGCCTTCTGAGAAGTTCTGGGCTCGCCGCCAAGGGGCGGGAGGCAGAAAAGAGGTGTAGATATATGATCCGGGGTTGACCCCCCCCCCTCCCCCAACAATGCATGTGGGATCGAGTCCCCCTCCAATGCATACGGATGGCATCGAGCCCCCCTCCCCCTCACTGCATATTGGATTGGCGTCGGCGTCGGCGTCGGCGTCCCCCTCCCCATCCCATCTGGGGGGGCCTGTGGAACCCTGGGGCCTATGCTATCAAGGGGGGGGGAACGGGGCCTGTGAACTCTCGACCTGGGATCATATGTGTGTATATATATATAGCCCTCAGCACGCACCACGACCCCTCCTTTCTCAACGTTATATATGAAAGCATATATGATCCCTACGGTTTTCGGACTTCATTTTGAGGCTCATTCTTGGCAGACTTTACGGGCCCTCCGTCTCCAACACACCATCCAGTACTCAACACCCTCCGTCTCCAACACACCACCCGATATTCCATAGGCTCCCTCCCCAAGCTGAACTTAAAAGATCACCTTCTACTCCACTCCCTCCGTCTCCAACATACCATCCAGTACTCAACACCCTCCGTCTCCAACGCACCACCCGATACTCCACAGGCTCCCTCCCCAAGCTGAACTTGCAAATAACCTTCTACCCAACTCCCTCCGTCTCCAACGCACCACCCGATACTCAACAGGTTCACTCCCCAAGCTGAACTTGAAAATAACCTTCTACTCAACTCCCTCCGTCTCCAACACACCATCCGGTATTCCACACCCTCCGTCCCCAACACACCACCCGATACTCCACAGGCTCCCTCCCCAAGCTGAACTTGAAAATACCCTTGTACTCCACTCCCTCCGTCTCCAACACACCATCCAGTACTCAACACCCTCCGTCTCCAACACACCACCCGATACTCCACAGGCTCCCTCCCCACGCTGAACTTGACAATACCCTTGTACTCCACTCCCTCCGTCTCCAACACACCATCCGGTATTCCACACCCTCCGTCCCCAACGCTCCACCCGATACTCCACACCTGTCTTCTCCATCACACAACCAACCTTTCTGCCACACTTCTTCCTTTACGGTTGCAGCGCGCGCCTTCTGCCCCCTTTTTTCTCTTGGCATCTTCCAAGAGAAAAGGGGGATTCATGGTGCGTGCTGAGACCTATATATATAGATATATCTGTACAAGTGTGTCTGTCTGTCTGTCTGTCTGTCTGTCTGTCTGTCTGTCTGTCTGTCTGTCTGTCTGTCTGTCTGTCTGTCTGTACCTCTGTCCGTCCGTCCGTCCGTCTGTCTGTCTGTATGTCTGTCTGTATGTATGTGTGTATGTACACATACAGAGACAGAGAGAGAGAGAGAGAGAGAGAGAGAGAAGAGAGAGAGAGAGCAAACAACGCCGTGCACATCAGAGGTGCATGGGCAGGGAAAATGGCGCTGACGCGGCAGCGGTCTCAGCCGGGCTCTATAGATGCACGCTGGATGCTCTCTTTCGCAATGAGATTCGATGAGGAAAGAAGATGGAGGGGGGCGGATTGCTGCGGGCAGTCGCGTGGTCGGGTCAGTCATGACGATATGATCGAGCCGTCAGTTTGATAATCTCTCAGGTTCGGTCCGGGCTTTCCTTTATCGTTTATGTTACCCAGAGCCCGCCTGGCACCTGCACGTAACACCAGACCCCTGGTGCCTGAGGCAGCCCGCGCGCCACTGCCCCGTCGACTCTCGACGGTCGGGCCTGCCTGGCCCCCTCCCTCCTCCTCCGCGGCCGCCCTCTTCTTTTCCAATCGTGACTCGCGCCTTTGCCGCAACTGCAGCTGGAAGATGTTCGGTCCTGTCCTTGGCTTTCGCCCGTGCTTTCGCCTGGGCTTGTCCACGTGCCGTCAAGGCTGGCGGAGGCAACCAGCCAGGGCCCACCCTTGCTCCTCTACCACCGGGCACCCGTGTCGTGAGCGTTCCGAGGGGTCGAATTTCGTTCCGAGCCTCTGACGTCTTGCTGGCCGTGCAGCGAGCTATTGCCAACGAGC